CTCAAGAGGCAGGAAACTGAAGGGGAAGGAATAATGCTGTCAGCAGTGGGAGAGAGATGACTTTGTTCTTTCGACTTATTAACTTTGAGGTACCTGTGAGACATTTAGAAGGACACGATGAGAAAGCAGTCGGAGACTCATCCTGGACTTCAGGAGAGCTCCTTGAGTAGCAACACCAGAGACGTAAGTTATCTGCTGAGCTGTAATCAAAGGCCGCTGTCTGTTTTATCTTCCACTGTGCCCAGCGAATTTGTTGAAAGGAAGTGTATGAGTGTGTAATGTAGGTGGCAAGTCAAGCTTCGGGAGAATTGAAGAGCAGTATGGAATTGAGAGGCTCAAAGAGCTGAAATTAAAAGGATTTTGAGAAGCCGCGACATTAATGACCAGATGCGGAAAAGCCCAGGTGCCAACTGAAGACAGGTCGTGTAAATGGCGTCTTTAAGGCAGTGGGACATTTTAGGAAAGAGAGGAAGCCATAGGAGAAAGACAGGGACTGAAACTTTCGCAAGAAGTTGTTTCTATGGAAACTTAGGGATAAAGCTGGGTTATCATAGGGTGAGGGGTCAGAGAAAGGGAGGAAGTCGTTCTAGTTTTCTTCTGCTCCTTATGGCAAACACAGTCAACTTAGATAATGATAAGGTTTGTTTCATCCGACACGTCTGGGGCACAGTCAGTCTCTGAGAGAAGACAGACAGAAACTCAGGCAGAAATCAGGAGGCAGAAATGCTGCTTTCTAGCTTGTTCAGTGGCTTATGCTCAGCTACCTTTCTTTCTATTTTTAAATTTAAAAAAAATATTTAAATACCTTTTTTCATTTCTTTTCCATACCAACGCAGTTTACCCTCTCTCGTCTCTGTCTCTTCCCGGTTGTGCCCCCCCCCCCGTGCTCCCCATCTACCCTCCTCCCCTTCCACTCCTCCGCTGTCCCCATTCAGAAAGGGGCTGGCCTCCCATGGACTTGAACAAAGCCTGGCACTCAACTGAGGCAGGACCTAGCTCCTCCCCTTGCATCAAGGCTGGGCAAGGTAATCCAGTCCAGTTTGGGGAACGCGTTCACAGCCAGGCACTGGGCTAAGCTCCCATTGAAGAAAGGGAAGAGGGATTGTAGGATCCAGGGGTTCACGAATGACTGGGAACCCACAGAGACAGCGGACCTGTGCTCCTGGTCACTGGACCAACAGTTAGGGAGCTTGCTTGCATGGGACCGACCAAGGCCCTCTGCATGTGTTTGACAGTTGTGTAGCTTGGTCTCTTTGTACAGCTCCTAGCAGTGAGATCAGGACCAGTCCCTGGCAGTTAGCTGGCTTTTGGAAACCTGTTCTCACCTAGTGTTCTTATATAGTGTCGGTACGCCTGTCTAGGAATGGTATTGCCCAACGTTCTGGTCCCTCCTACATCAGTTAGCATTCAAGATAATGTCCCACAGACAGGCTTACAGGTAAATCTGACCAGGCAGTTCTTCCATGGAGGTTTCTAATTCCCAGATGACTCTGGTTATAGCAAATTGAAAAGTAGCCAGCACAGAAGTAGAACTGGATAAGGATGAACTCTTTAGAGGAAAATTCTAGTTATATGGAATATAGCAGTCATGAGAGTCTGTATTTGTTTTAACAATCTAAGAGCAGATTTCAAGCTGGGTGTGGTAGCGCATACCTTTAATCCCAGCAGTGGGAGGTAGGGCGGCTCTCTGGGACAGCCTGAGGCACATAATAAAGAAACCATGTCTTTTTCTTTAAAAAAGTAGATGTCAAATTGTTTTGGCTATTACTTATCAAAAATGTGCATTTCACATCACAAACTAATATTTGCATTTATATTTGTATATAACTGAAATAGATACTTTGCTAAATAGCATTACCTTAAATACATGAATGTTTCAGATTAACGGAATCACAAATAAGCAATATTTCTTTTTATGGTTGAATAATATTTCATTGAATGAATGTATACCATTCAACTGCTTAAACTGTTTTGGTCTTTTGGCTATTATGAATAATGTTGCTGTGAACATTTATATATGAATTTTTGTGTGGACTTGTTTTCCTTTCTCTTATGTATATATCTAGGAGTTTTTTTTAATCAGATGCTAATTCTAATTTTTTTTAACTTGGAGGAACTTTTAGACTATTTCGCAAACTGTCTGCATCATTTTTCATTCCTATCAACTGTATGAAAGTTCTAATTTTTGGTATTTCTAGGTTCCAACCCAGGGTCTCCTGCATCCCAGGCAAGCACTTTGCCACCTAGCTATACCCCTAAGCTCATTATCTGGCATTTCATTTTAAACTGTTACAGTGAGTGTAAATTTGTATCTCATTACCAAAAATGATGTAATGAATATCCTGTATTTGCATTTCCCGTATTTGATTTGAATTTCCCTGATGGCTAACCATGTTGAACATCTTTTCATGTATTAATTGACCATTTCTTTGGATAAATGCTATTCAGATCCTTTGATGAGTTTTAAATTGGGTTATATTTCTTTTTAATGATTGTACTACATTATATTTATTATATTTTATTTATAATGTATTGGAGGGGCGTGGGAAGGTCAGAGGACGCTTGTGAGAATTGGTTCTTTCCTTTAAATGTGTGGGTTCCAGGGATGTAGCACAGTCCATCAGGATTGGATGGATGTAAGCACTTTTGTCTGCTGAGCTACCTAGCTGGCTCATAGTTCTTTTTAAAAATTATTATTATTGTGTGAGTGCATGTGCTGTGGCATGCACGTGGAGGGCAGAGGATGAATTTGTGGAGTTGCTTCCCGTCTCCTATCTTTTCATGGGCTCTGGGGATCAAATTTGTTAGGATTGCTCATCAAGCGCTTTGCTTTCTGAGCCATCTCACCAACCCTTGAGTCATATTTCTTTTGGGGAGTTGTAAGAACTCGTTGTTTATTCTAGATACAAGTCTCCAGTCAGATGCTATTTGCAAGGATTTCTCTCTTTTGGTGTATGTGTGTGTGTGGGGGGGGTTCCACACATATGATAGCATCCTTTGAAGACAGTAGTTTTAAATTTGGATGCTGTTAACTAATTTTAACTAAATTTAACTAATTTCTCCTTGGTGGCTTGTGCTTTTGCCATAATTAAGAAACCATATCCAAGATGACAAAGGTTTACCCTTAGTCCTCCTATTTTGTTAGTCACTATCATCATATCTAAATATTTAATAGTAATTCTTCAACATTATTAATTATTTGATTTATGTTCAGATTTCTAGGTGTTTCATATGTCATAAATGCACATGTACCTAATATGCCCAAATTCAACCTCAGGCCACTGAGTTATTTGTGAAGAGATCAAAATTTGTTTGTGAAAACTGGATTAGTGATCCTGTGGTTTCTCACAGTGTACATTTTATTATCAGAATCACTGTACTGCAGCAGCCCCACCCCCTTTGGTTCTTTGTGTGTCTGGTAATTGATAATTGGATCTAAAAATTTGATCCAATTCAGGCTTTTTGTTTTTGTTTTCTCAAGAATCATTCACAAGTGACTGCTCTATGAGCTAAAATGTGTAAAGCGTGGTCTCATTTGGAGTTTATTCTATCCCAGAGGGCTCGAGACTATTTTATTTATGACTTGTACCCATTCAAAATTTCCAATAATTTAATTAAGATAATGACTGCCTGAGTCTCAAAGACTTCTAGAGAATAGCAAACAGTTCCCATTCCTGTTAAGAATCCATCGTATGCTAACAGTTGCAAATCAAGTTTGTTAGATCTCTAGCTAATCCACTTTCTTTTTTCCCTCCCCTGTTATCTACCCATTGACTCCGAAGGTCATAGGTATCTAAAAACATGAAAGGCTTGGAGATATATATATATATATATATCTCATATATATATGAGTTCTTCCTTCTTGAGGACTCAGGCAGTTGTAGAAATTACACATATTCTTCTGCAGTTGGAATTCTGGGATTGCACTTTACTCTCAGAAAAGTTATTTCTTATGCAGCAGAATGTAGAAGGAAGCCCAGAGAAGGTAAATTAGTTGCCTGAAAATTACACAGTCAAAAACTAGGAGTCAATTTGAACTCTTCTGGCCTCTAGTTCAAGACATTTTCCCTCTAGATGTAGGCACAGAGTTGTAAACACTGAACACAGCGATGGTTGCAAGATTTTTCAGAGTTTATATATAGCAACTATTTTACCCATAGTCAGCTCTCCTTCTTCGTACTCAGAAGGCTGGTAGAGTGCATGTTAACTGTAGCATGAAGAAGCCATAAGCAGAGAAGGACAGAGCAGCCAGAGCAGAGAAAGCCAAAGAGAATTGAATTGTGGCTAAGTTGGTGTTCCAACGGTTGTGTTCACAGCACTGATTTGTGACATTTTATTGCTGATTGTGAGTAATTTAGTTTAGGCAGTGGACAAACACATATTTGCTTCTTATTGGCCTGTGCTCCAGAGGGACTCCCAAGTTTTATGCCTCCCACCAACTTACCTATCTACCTACCTGCATTTCCTATTCTTTCTCCCTTCTCTCCATCCTCTATCCTGGCTTTTCCTCACCCTGCTCTTTCTTCACCATATCCTCTCTTTCTTCTTCTTTTGTCCTATTCCATCTTTCCTTCTTTTTCTGCTTCCCATACATACTCTCTCTGCCCTCCTCCTTCTTCTTTCTTATGCCAGTTCCCTTCCATTTGATTCTCTTTGCTTCCTCCCCCTTTCTCAGTCTTTTCCCTCGTCCTTCAGTATCTTACCCTCCCTTCCTCCACAAGTTCTTCACCCCCACGTAAAAACTGACTGTTGGTGGCTCCCGAGGAGAGAGAGAGAGGAGACTCTGTGAGCCTTGGCTTCTCCCGATTGGCTGTTACTGCTAGCACACCAGCTCAAGTCTTGCCTCCGGGCACCGAACAGAGCAGCTGCTGCATCCGCTATTGGCTTGTTCTCCTGTCAGCGTAACTGTCAGCGACTCACGCTGGCGCCCCCAGTCCCGGCGTGAATAAAAAGGCAACCTACCGGCTGAGGTGGGGGTGGGGAGAGGAGAGGGAGAGGGCCAGCTAGGAAAGGCTAGGAAGAGTGGTTGGTAGCCTGGAATCCCTTTAACAGAGCTAGCAGACGAGGCATCTTAGGAAAGCTAATGAACTAGAAAGAGTAGGGGAGACTGAGACTGACCGGTAGCCAGCTAGACAGACGGACGCATGCCCGGACAGACAGACGGCTCTGGAGAACTGATAGGTTCTTTTTGCCTTTCTTTTTGAAAAGCAGGATTTTGATTTTTTTTTCAGTGGCGCCCAAGAGAGAATGCTGGACTCTGCTATCTTCAGCTCAAGCTAAGATTTCTCAGCTAGCGAAGAAAGATCAGTCCAGTCCCGCGAGGGGGACGGAAGCAAAAGCCCCTGCCTCCAACCCCCCTTCCCTCCCCCGAACCAGACTCGGGGGGCCAAACCCAGACCTTCCCTAAACCATCTGACTTCCTCCTTTCCTTTTTAGCATGGTGGCTGTATGGACAGTCTGACAGAACAGAGATTGACATCTCCCAATCTGCCGGCCCCCCACCTGGAACACTACAGTGTTCTGCATTGCACCATGACCCTGGATGTGCAAACTGTAGTCGTTTTTGCCGTGATTGTAGTGCTCCTGCTTGTCAATGTCATACTCATGTTTTTCTTGGGAACGCGCTGAATGGAGTCCAGCCACCTGAGCTGTTGCGAACTCTCACTTTGATTTCATCCCAAGAGCCTCTGAGGGGGAAAAATCGAGAGAGACAGTCTGAGACAGGGAAAGAGAGGGAGAGAAAGAACAAGCTTTCTTACTCAGGGGGGAAAACGTTTTTTTGAGCTTCAACATGGCCTCGCTGTGATATGTATGACGTTGGTATATTATCTCTCCCTAAATCTTTTGTCATGTCTTGTCTTTTAAATTTGCCTGTGAGTGTAGTTGCTTATTGCTTGAGTAAAATTGTTGGTAAGAAATGTTTTCTGTTTAAGTGTGCATGTTCGTATGCATTCTTTATGTGACGTTTGCAGAACTAGCTCTGTCCTCTTAAGGTGGCTTTGCTATTTGTGATGTTTCGTTAACTCATTCTCTTAAAAACTACCTTTGAACTCTGTTATGAAATTTTAATCAAAATTTCTCTCTTGCTATCAGAATACATTCGGGTTTGTTTGGGGCTGGGGTTGGAGGAAAGTATTTCTGGAAGAGCATGCTGAATTTTTTTGGCATTCGGTGAAAGTCTTGCACTGGTTGTTTAGAGAGGAAGAAAAACCTATGCAAGAAACGGATTTATGGAAAATAGTCTCTAAACGAGGAGCAAGAATTTGGGAAGTGACACACTGGGGTGCCTTGAGTTGGCACTTAGTAACTGTGTCCTTTGAATTTCAATTTTGCTGTTCCGGGTTTCCAGTTTCTGATTTGGAAAGCTGCCACCGCTAAAACATTTGCTAAAGCAGTAAGTGTCACTTTCTTTGCTATCACGGAGTAGAACAAAAAGTATTTCTTTACATTTTAAATTAGCAAGAGAGGATTTTGACAAGATGTTTGGGCTCATTTTTACAGATGTTATACCCCATGATTTGAATTTGAGGATTTTTTTTTCTGTGCCTCACGCAGAAAACAAAATCCGGCATCTTATATAGTTTGTGACTAATAGTATTGGGTATTAATAGTATTGGGCTTGGCTCCTTTGGGTTAATACCATTTGCGGTGGTCTTCATGAACTACTTTGCATAGAAGTTGATAGTGCTGATGAGATTTATTTCCTTGTTTGTTGCTTAAGAACAGAGGTCTCTGAAACATTCATGCAACTGTAAGTATGTAATGTGCTAAATTAAGAGTTTGAACACAAAAAAGGACGTGTAATGAGATGCGAGCTTGGGAAACGTGAGCTAGCTGGTGTTCCAATTTGAGATATGTCTTATATAGGCATTGTTGTATTTGCTGTTATTGCTGTTATTATATATTATATATACATACATATATTATATATACATACATATATTATTATACATACATATTTCTGTTTTTTGCTGAGATACCTCTTGGCAAAGCTAAGTAAACAAGTGTTTCTGATACCAGTGTGTACATAGTATTTGCTTTTTTCTTTTTTCTTTTTTGCTCTTCTTTCTCTTTGCTGGTGCAGGCAGATATTCCTCATTCCGTTGCTTACCTGACTTGAAACGGTGCCATTTCTGGCTCATACAGCAGTGAATCATGCCACATACACGCCCACACACATGCTTCGAGCTATACTCATGTGGGTGGATGCTCATGTGTGATGTGCAAATCAGCTAGCATTATGCTGTCAATTTTCAGGTCTTGTTCAGTCTCTTTGGAAATGGTTATTGAGGGGGCATTGAAATTGTCCTGATAGACCAAGAGAACATTATTTAATGGCATCAGTTGAGGTTTTGAACTTTAAGGTATAATCTGGTTGACTCACTGTGAGAAGCTGAGCTGGTTTTTTTTTTTTTCCTCCTTATTTGGTACCATGATAGAAGTATGATTTGAGAAGTTTGCTAGCAGTGGTTTCATATTTAGCATCCTTTGGTCTCTTTGTGACGGCCACTTGGGTGGAAATAAGAACCTCGTTCAAATGAGAATCTTGTATAAATTTTTTTTAAATTTCTTACTTGTTTGCTTCAGAGAAATAAATAAATAAAGTAAGCTTGTTGTTTTTGAGACAATCTTGAAGAGTGGAGAAAAGCTTAATCCTGGGTAGCTGCAGATCTGTTTTCACCATTCACTGCTTGTTTGACAGTGGACTTCTTTTCCCCCTCTCTCCCCAGTGAGTTTGGGATTCCCTATAACATTGACAGTTGGAAATCTTTGTTCCAGGTGACTTCGAAGTTCTAGCATTCTGTGATTTTTGGGCACCCATAAGGGCTTGAAGTCAGAGGGAAATGAAAAGGAAAATGAATTATTAACCAAAGGGATTGGGAGAGAAATATATATATATTTATATATATATACACACATATAGTGTCTGATATCTGCAGAATACATTTTTTCCCTAAGGGATTTTGTTGTTGTTTGCTACCTGGTCAAGAAATAGGAACTCCAACACTAGAATGCGTTTGACTTTTTATTTTATTTTAAAGGGAAAAGGAGTTTCTATAGCTAGTTTTTGACCTAGGTTTATGACTAAGTAATGTCATGAAATACCTGACAAAGCCTTGCCAGAAAGCCTTCGGGAATGGATGTGGGTGTGGTGGTGTCAGTATATTTGTGGATGTAGGTGCATATTCATCTGTGTGTGGTGGGGGGGGGGGGAAGGTTGCAAATACTCCTGAGTGTGGATGGAGAGTGTTTGGTGTAGGAATCTGTGAAGATAGCATCAAGTTGCACAGTTCTAAAGAGCCTTCGCTAGGGCTGGATGAATGTCTCCTGTCATCACCTAAAGCCTTTCAGGCTAGAATAGAGGAGTACTTTGAATGAGCCCTACCATCAATAATTTAAGGTATAAAGGCTCATATTTTACAAACTCAATTCAAGAGCTGTTACTAGTGAGACAACAAGCCACCTCAGATTAGCCAGAAGTAAGTTTAGGGAGTAGACAACAGGGTGCTGGTGTGACTTTAATTCTGTGCCTTCTAAAGTCTTTATATTTCCCCTTCAAATATGTGAATACATGCACCAGGAGAAGGAAATGTAAGAAAATGAGACACATTCCTGCTCCTTTCTGCCTTTGTCATAACTTTCCCTTTTCCTCACTCGTCCATCACCCTAAGTGCTTGAGATGTAAGGAAGAGGATAGGCTTTGGAGTTCTGATTTGTTTAAACTTTTTCTTATAAAGCCCTTTAGTTCCCTTCCTTAGTCTCTTATCCTTTTGCATAAAGGATAAGCTTTTGCTACTGGGAGGGTGCTAAATCCATGCTAAGGGATTTTAGCCCTCAGCTCCCCACCCGGGAGTTAAATAAAATGCCTTATACTGGTATCCTAGTAACCCATGAATCACCCTGCAACCACTGAGCTTCAGAGCCCACTCTTTAAAGGTACAGGCACTCTGGTCTCTCTTCAACAGAAGCTGGAAGCCAGCAAAACTGGAAGAGATGCTCTTTAGGGAAGAACAAGATAAAAACAAAATCTATGTTCACAGGCCATGGAGAGCCCAGCTTTGAGCTTCCATGGTGACTGTTTATTGGAAAATGGTTCGAGTTCCACTCTCTCTTTACTTACTACCCTCATTCTGAAGATTAACCGAGCCATTTCACTGCCTGCCTTTAGTGTAGGTCTTGAAAAAAAAACATTTTACAGCAACTTTTGGCTTTAGGCAGTGAGACAGTGAAGTGATAATTTAGTGAGAACGAACTGACCAGCATATTTTATTCATCAAGACAGGTCTCACCTGTCAAGACCTGCAATATCTGCTTCTGTAGTTTGCTGGAATTTTGTTTGTAGCTCAGGGAAGCTTGCCAGCCCAGCTGTAGTGCATGACAGCTGTGAATGTTCTTTTTCTGTGTTTCAGTAGTGTCTGACTGGGAAGTGGAGCAAGTTAGGAAAGTCGTTTGGATTGCTGATGTGATGAATCGGGCTTGGGCTCTCGTTCACGTGTGTGTGTGTGTGTGCGTGCGCGCGCGCGCGCGCGCGCGCGCGTGTGTGTGTGTGTGTGTGTGTGTGTGAGAGAGAGAGAGAGATTGGGTGTGTGTAAGTTTTCACAGAGCTTAGGGATCAAAATAAACTTACGGATGAGATGTCCCAATGTGTGGTGAGGTTCAGATTCAGAGTCACAGAAGAGACACTGTGGTGGTAGCAATGATGGTACTGAATGTCCTCTTTAGCTTATCTGCTACCATTGCCTCTGATCCCATGATGTGCAATGTGAAAATTGAGCCTTTGTTCCCAGAATACCTCTTGCAAAGCATCTACATACATATCTAGTCGCTTTTTTTGGTAAGAAGTGTAATGGAGGAAGCAAATGTTCGACTTTCTAGTCCTTTCTAGCCCTATTTAAAGCTTTGCAACTTCTCTAGGCTATGTCTCCAGCTTTCCAAGAATCCTTTATTAAAGCTTAGTTGTTCCAATATGTGCCCAGAGTGTCTCCTTCTGTCCCTATGGATCTAGCACTCTAGAATATTTAATTCATTATGCTTTGCCCTGGCACCAAAGTACAATGTGGAAAAACTAGAAAGGAGAAAGGCCTCCAGGAAAGAAGCTGTTAATGGCTATGTCAGTAACACATTGTCAATGCATGGTCCTATAAAGTTTGCAAAGTGGTTGTACATCTTTTCTAATTTCACATCATATTAGCCATTCTAAATGGGTAGGGATGCTTGCTGTTCCCTGACTTACAGTGGAAAAGAGTAAAGGTGAGAAGAGTTCCTGGGTATGCCTTTCTAACAGTGAAGTAGGAACATCAGAGTTGATCTTTTGCAGTCAGTGTGAAGCTGAAAGGGGTCAGCTGAAGAGGGGGTTGTGGATGAGTCATTCCTGAAGTCATGTGACTCCTCTGGATTTGCATGCTTACATTTTTAGTGCTTTATAATACCTTTCATTTATATAGTACTTTTGAAAAAAAAAGTTAGTCCATAAAATGTCATGAAAAAATCACCAAACAGTTGTGTTTAGCCAGTCTTACGAAAAGAAACTGTCACTATTTTGAATCTTCAAGGTAAAAGCCAAAGTGAATTGCTGAAACCTAAGATACAAAATGTTTTGGAGGAACTAAGTTTTCATGCAGTTGTTCTTTTGGAGGCACATATTCTTTTATATATTAATTTTCAGATGTGTTAGCCAGGATTGGGTAGGTTGTCTAATATTCACAGACCCTCGACTGCCTAGTCCAGCACCAAAAATTAGAAACTGAGAGCAACCAACAAAAACCATGCTACTCCAACTGATCATGCTGCTCAACCTGGCACCCAGCTAAGATCAAATATGCAGGGGCTCGGATTTTTCTGGGAAATGAATGATTGAATGTAAACCTCCTCCAGCCGATTCAGATCTGCAGCATACTCTTTTGGGTTTAGTACAGTCCTTTTTTGACATTGGTCTTTTAAGTCAGTTTAGTTTTTTGTTTCAAAATTTGTCATATTTTGTTCTGATTGGTCTATTCTTGTAACTATGAGTTTTAATTTTTCTCATTCTGTGTAAAAAATTCGGTTTTTTTTCCAGCACTGTATCAGTTAAAATATTTTTATGTGAATGTACTGTTTCAGACTTTTGGAGGTTTGAAGTTGTTAATATACAAAAGATTAGCAATTTCTAGTAGTTCTGCCATTATTTGAAATTTGAAAATGCATTACACAAGTTGATTCAAAGACTGTTCTGTATGATGAAATTAGTATTACTCCTTTGATATCTTAAGAGTGCCTCCTTTTGAAGTTGGAGTCTCTCAGTTTTTCTATGTATTTGGTCAATAAGTGCTGGCTTCATCTATTAGTGCCATTATCTGTCCTAACATTGTGTTGATGAGGACAAAATTGCATGAGATTTGTTTTGTATGCTTTATG